GCATCATTAAACAAAGGTTCCACAGCATAAATGAATGTAACACACACCTTAAAACAATATTCCACAACAGTGTGTGTTCATGCATGCATGTGTGTGTGGTGTATACATGTGAGTGTGAAATTGTGTGCATGTACCTGTGTCCATGAATGTGCATGTGTGCATGCATATATGTGCACGGAGTGAGTGTGTGTGCATGAGTATGAGTGAAATTGTGTGCACATGTGCACAGAGTTAGTGTATGTGCATGCATGTGGGGGTCTGAGGGTGACTTTGTAGCATTCTCTGCTCTTCCACGGATCCTGGTTGACAGGGCTGCCATGCCTGTGTGAAGCTTTGCTGCTGCTGAGCCATCTCTCCAGCCTCTCAATTTATTCTAAGATTTTTTATTGTATTTATTTCGTGGAGGAGAAAGAATGCACATGAAGACCAGAGGCCAAGTCTCGGGAGTCCATCCTCTGCTGTACCTGGCTGCACTAAACCTACCAGCCAAGGTCACCTGATACGGCCTCGAGGAATTCACCCAGGCCAGTTGGAGGGGCCACAGCACAATTGGGGCTGTGACAGTTTTATTGAGAGCACTCAGACTTTTTGTACCTTTATAGAAACAGAAGATAATGGCAATTGTCAGGACCAATACAGTTATGGTTGCCAGGACCCAGTGAAGTTGGCAAGTCATACAGGGCACACAAGATTAATGTCTAAGACCAAGTGTCCTGTCAAGCTTCCGTGACTGCTAAGGGAGCATACAGAGAAACACAAAGCGGCCTGAACACTTCACAGCCTGAGGGAGTGCATCAGCCTCTCAGGAACTGGAAGGCGCACAGTGCCCCAGGAGCCACAGAGTCTAGCCTGAAAAACCCAAGACATCTGCCTTTCAAGGTGGCCAGGCCAAGCCAGCTCCATGGTTCCCAGCACTTTCCTGCCGCCATGCAGGTCCTAGGGATCATGGGGTCATCAGGCTTGCTGAAATTAGCCTCTACCTGCTGAGTCATCTCACTGGCCCTGGTTCTCAGTTAAGATGTATCCTGTGAGCGTCCCCAGCCTAGGTTAAACCAGCTCCGGGCTCTCAGTGTCCTTCACATTGCCAGGGAGCGCTCACCGGTGCTGTTTAAATAACGGATTGTGTGCTAAATGTTTAGGTTACAGTCCACTCCCGCCTCCCCACTCCCGCTTGTCGGAGCTTCGGGGAGGCAGGGGGAGGCAGGAGCGTGTCTGTGGATACCTGTCAGAGCTTCGGGGAGGCAGGAGCATGTCTGTGTTGATACCTGTCTCTGCACTCCTTCCTGATCTCATGCTCCTCACTGACTAGGATAGCCGTGACTCAGGACTAGTAAAGGGACAAATGGGCACACAGGTCAGCACCCGCAGCAGGCAGGCGCCTAAGGCCCCTGAGGCTCAGCAAAGTTTGCCACAGTTATCTAGATACATCTGCTACCGGAGCAGGCAGGACCTGCCTCTGCCGTCTCCGCTCTCACCCCGGCTCACAGAGCAGATCTGATGGCTGTGGAGCAGGCAGGACCTGCCTCTGCTCTCACCCCGGCTCACAGAGCAGATCTGATGGCTGTGGAGCAGCCAGGACCTGCCTCTGCTCTCACCCCGGCTCACAGAGCAAATCTGATGGCTGTGGAGCAGGCAGGACCTGCCTCTGCCGTCTCTGCTCTCACCCCGGCTCACAGAGCAGATCTGATGGCTGTGAGTGGGAACTCCAGCTGCCTGCAGTGCGCCTTCAGTCTTCCGGGGAGTCTCACCACTTTGCCATTGTCAATGAGAATGCCTCTGTGACCTGTCGCTCTGAGCAGTTAGTGGAAATTGGAGAGGGAAGAGGGGACGAAGCAGGAAGCTCAGGCCTTTCGGACTTGGAAGCATCTGCAGTGCCCATGCCCGTTGGGCCGTATCTGAGTGTCTCCACTTTCTCTCTAAAATTCTCCAGAAACCTGCACAGCACCTTTGTGCTTTCAGAGGTTCGGGTGGCCAGAGTTGGGTGCTGTGGTGTGTTACACAGATATCCAGGAGGTAGATGGCCTGTCTTGCTCTTTCAGGAGCCCAGCACTGCCTTCCGGAGCTATCCTGGAGGACTCCTTCCTTCCCGTGGTGTCAGGCATACAGTGGTTCTCACTGCAGCCCCCAGGCCCCTGTATCAGTTCTCATCCTTCCCTGTCCTCATCCCAGTGAGGCAGGCCCGGCAGGCCAGGGTATGCAAGGGGAACCACGGCCACCACCCTCTCCTCACCTCTGGCTCTTCTCTCCCCAGAACCGGTTCTCCGACTATGAGAAGCGAAAGGTAAGGCCCTCCCTGCCACTTTTCCTCTGGAAGGTCGCAGCTCCTCAGAGACTTGGGGGACAGCTTCCTCCTGGCTTGCTTTAGACATAGAAGGCAGGCAGCTTGTCCCCACAGGAGCAGAAGATGCTGGAGAAGCTGGAGTTTGAGCGGCGCCTGGACCTCGGGCAGCGAGAGCATGCCGAGCTGCTGCAGCAGAGCTACAGTCACAAGGATGAGATCCTGCAGTCAGTCAAGCAGGTGAGTGGCCACACACCAGCCTGTGCCCCGGGGAGTGACCACACACCAGTCAGCCTGAGCCCGGGGAGTGAGCACACACCAGCCTGAGCCCCGGGGAGTGACCACACACCAGCCTGCCTGAGCCCCGGGGAGTGACCACACACCAGCCTGTGCCCCGGGGAGTGAGCACACACCAGCCAGCCTGAGCCCCGGGGAGTGAGCACACACCAGCCAGCCTGAGCCCCGGGGAGTGACCACACACCAGCCAGCCTGAGCCCCGGGGAGTGACCACACACCAGCCAGCCTGAGCCCCGGGGAGTGACCACACACCAGCCTGAGCCCCGGGGAGTGGCCACACACCAGCCTGTGTCCCGGGGAGTGAGCACACACCAGCCTGTGTCCCGGGGAGTGACCACCAGCCAGCCTGAGCCCCGGGGAGTGACCACACACCAGCCAGCCTGAGCCCCGGG